GGTATTGAACCATGAGCCATGGATGGTCCCAGTGAATTGGCATCCAAGCACGCGACATGGACGGCACAAATATGCAAAACAGGTGTCCTTGAATCGGCGCTATCCAATATTTAGGATAGTGAACCTACTAGCCCAAGGAGCGAATTTTGGTAGCCTCTCTTTGTGTGTGTGTGTGTGTGTGTGTGTGTGTGTGTGTGTGTGTGTGTGTGTGTGTGTGTGTGTGTGTGTGTGTGTGTGTGTGTGTGTGTGTGTGTGTGTGTGTGTGTGTGTGTGTGTGTTTATTCTGCTATTGCATGTCTTTTCCCTCTTCTTTTATATATCTCTCTATCTACGTCCTCCTTCTTGTCCTTATTTCCCCACCGCAGTGCTGCGTAGCATACCAGATGTCAATATGTGGTTAACATCCAGCCCTTCCTCTTCCTATCTATCTACCTGTTTGTTAGCCTATACGATTACATTGCTACCTACACGAAGCGCAGCTTTCGACTGGCTCGCGCTCCAATTGCTGATCTTTACGATTTATACCTCCACAGGCTTCAATAGCCAGTGCCGTACGACTAAGCAGCGAGGATCCTTGTATACTTTTTATAAATATTCGCTAAGTGGCGGGTTCGGTACCCACTGCCCGAACACTATTTGGTGAATGGATGAATGTAGTTGTGAAATACAGTGTGAATGAATGAATGAATGAATGAAAAGCAAGAGAGAGAAGAAAGGCAGGAGTGTTAATCAGTTTAGCATAACCGGTGCCTGGCTGCGCTCTGCTGCGTGTTCTTCGTTTATTTATTACATAAACCACTCGGAAACCTTGAATCTTTAGAGCACTGGATATTCGTGTTTTGCGCGCATGTATGTGCGCGTGTTGTGAGCGAGTAATGTAGAGGCAAATAGCCTATGAATGACGAAGTGAATTTGCACTCCGTGCATTCGCACGGGGCAACAGCTGACATTTTCGTCCTTTAGGCGCGCCCTAAAGTCCAAACACTCGGCCGTCGAAACTCTCGTTTCCATGGTGACAGAATGCACGAGTGTGGCGGCTCACGTGACTGTATGCGTGGCGACTTCATTCTACGAGTGAACTTGCCGAGCTCCAAGATACCGCTGTCACCAAGGTGTCAGTTAGCTCCGTTTGCCGGTTAGATGAGCCACTTGAGATTACGGGGCAGCGCGCGTTCGCACCTGGTTTCGCAAGATGAGCCGAAGCGTGCGGTGCTCGGATCAAAGGCTGGCCGGTAGGCTGACAGGCTGTGAAGCAGAGCGCCGCACACACACTCAAATGTGTGGGGGACGGCTCAAAGAGCTGGAGCTACAGCTCCTCCGTGTCGACCGATAACGCCGGGGTCAACGCGTGCAGGTAGCCCGTAGAGGGTTCGCCAATTCGCGGCTGTTTCCGACACACTTAGCGTCAAGCACGTTGTCTGTGTGTATCTCTCTTCGCAGTCCTATGTTTCCCCACCCCAGTGTAGGGTAGCATATATCAGATAATACCATCTAGTTGAACCTCCATGCATTTCTCTCTCTCTTTCTTTCTTTCTCTTCGTGTCCAGTAAACATTTGCAGAAACGTATAGTGTGGTGTAACTACTGAAGTTCCGTGTATAGGCAAGGTGACGTGAACTAGCTGGCTAGACAGATCTTCGCAAGGAGACTGAACCATACATAGACCAAAAGACTCGTATACTTTATCACATTTAGATTTGCCACCTATAGGAGGAACAGTGTGGACGCTTGTTTTGCTGTTCATGCTGCGCAACGAAGGAACCGTTAGATAATATGGCTCCGCCAAGACCTCCTAAAGGAGCCGTAGACAGTAACCGTAAAACCATCAGGTAAAGACGCCACCTGGGGAAAAACTGGTAGCAGTCTCGCTGCGTTTTCGAAAGACGGCGACCGGCGCAGCGTTACATTTCGCACGAGGCGGTGCCAACGCTCACGTCCAAGGCCCGGTCTGCCGAGAAGCGCGTGGGACGAACGTCGAGCGAGCCCCGGAGAGAGCGATCGACTCGAGGCGGCTACTCGGTCGGCGTCGGACAGATCGGGTCCGCGATAGGCTGATTAGCGCGTTCGATTGCGCGCCTCAGAAAGCGGGGCCGCTGTGACGCGATGGCCTGCAACACATGCTCCGCGCCGGTACGGCGCCAACACCACCGCAAACCCCTCCGCTTTCCTTGTCTCGAGACGCACGCACAACTCACGGACTGTGAATACCGCGCTAATTCGTTCTCACTGCGGGCACGCTGTTGCGTAATGAAGACATTCGTTAGCCCCCCTTGGCCGCCCTTTCCCACGCCAGTGGCCAGGGCTCGTAATGAGCTACGATATACGGCGCCCAGGGGAGGGGCAGTATGTCGCTACACCGAGGCGCCAAGAAGAAATGAAGTAGCATTAAAGCGTGCTATGACCTGCGCGGTCAATATACATGCAGTGCACGGACAAACGCGTCCGTGTAAAAGCGAAGAGTGGCACCCAGTGTAAATATACAGGACTGATTGTCCAGTAATTGCAGTCGCGGGGATGTGGCGCACCCCCCGTGTTAATACAGCTGTACACAGATTGCACGCTATAGCACATTTTGGTGCTCGTGGGCACGCAACTCTCAATGGAAACGGTGATGTGGAGCAAGGACAGGGCACGTTGATTATGTCAGCGTGTGCAAGGAATTAACCTGTACGCATACGCAAAGCGCATACTAGTAGCTCTGGTGTTGCGCTGCCGATGGTATACGGAGAAGTTAATTATTGAAGACAACAGGTGAAATTAGCGGCCGGCGCCTTTGGCCACTGCACTACACATGGAGCCTGGAGGGAACTGCAGGGCGCAGGCAGTGTACAGAAAAGGCGCAACTCCACAAGCAGTGGTAGCGTGTCAAGACGATTATTTTGAATGAATGAACTAATGAATTTGGTCACCAAACGTAAACGTGTGAGATAAGCTTAGCCGTTTCAGCAGTGCTGAAGTAGATTGCAGCATGATGTGCGATAAAACCCACCCGACAAATACAATGAGCTGACCTCACATAACTTAAAACTGCTCCTCCGAAAAAAAACAAAAAAACGTTCAAATCAACTCAACGATCAAAAGCCAGAACTGGTATTTCCGAGACTGTCGAGTTTCATCACGTTTGCGTAACCCAGAGGCGTAGCCAGAAATTGTCTTCGGGGGGAAGGGGGCGTTTAACCATACGCAAAATTTAAAAATTGGGGGTGTTGTGTTGGTGTGGACAACCCCTCCTTGGCTCTGCCGCTGGTGTAATCCGTCGTATTGTTAGTTCTGATTAGACGACAGCTCCTTTGCGTCCTCACTGATTTCTTTAGAACTCCAAGGCGTAGCATTACAGACGCGCAATATACGCATCTCTTTTACAGGGAGCTAGACGCAATGGAAAACATCGATGAGATCATTGTTTCGTCTCCATGCCGCTGTCAAAGCTCTTACCTCATCGTGAGGCGACGGCGCCTGCGCGGAATCGGAGACCGAGAGAGAGATGACTCGCTCACAAAGGCACGGCAATGAGACGGCAGCGCAATTTCAAACTGGAAGAACACGGACTTCTTGTTCAATCGTTACGACATTGTGCGCAACAACCAGCGTGAGTTAAATATTCAAACTCTCTATTGTATCCAACAGCATTACCAAAGGCCATCGCTGAAAGCTGGCCGCTATTATTTTGTGATACTGCGATATGTATCGCCTGCTGTTGGCACCGAGAAAAGAGAAATAAAATTATTTTTTTCATGGCTCCTGATGCAAGTTGGTTCAGTTAAAGCTCACTACTGACAGGGCCGTGCCTAGGAGACTGTTGAAGTGGTTCTGACACGACGATAGTTATAGCACGAGGACAAAACGACGACACATAGACAAGAAGGACACGAAAGACACGAGCGCTATATATTTAATATATTTATATAGTTTTTTTTTTGCCAAAACACATAAAGTTGACATGCACTTCCGTGTCATTGTGACAGAAAGTGCTACGTGGCAAAAGCAACTCGACTTGTTTATTCAGAACCACCTAAAGTATCTAAAGATTGATGACCCATTTTTGATCAAAAACTCGCAGGCTCTGATAGAATTTTTCAAACAGTCAAATCAATCTAATCTTTTCAGTTTTTCAATTGACATAAAGAACCTATACTACTCTCTGCCTCACGATGAGGTATTAGAATGTATAAGGGATAACATAGAAATTTTCGGGGAATTGAACTTCCAATTAAAAACTGCCATCAGTGCGCGAGATTTTCTTGACCTGGTTTTGCTGTACCTTACCTGTACTTTCGTTCAATGGAATGATTGCATTAATCTGCAGAAAAAGGGTGTTTCAATCGGCTCATGCATAGCACCTCTACTCAGTGATCTTCTATCGGCAAAAATGGTTAAAAAAACTGCAGGAAAAGTTAGAAGGCTCGCATGTCGTAAAAGTATTCAGATACGTGGATGATTTTTTGGTTTTTCTAAATTGTAATTCTTCTATGTTCCACTCGTTTGCGACTCAAACGATAGGTGTGTTCGAAGATAGCGCTCGTGTCGTTCGTGTCCTTCTTTTCTCTGTGTCGTCGTTTTGTTCTCGCGCTATAACTATCGTCATGCCACACCAACTAGCCCAAGCTGCCACACTTCTAGGTTCTGACACCCTTAGTTTCTTCGTTATTTAACGTTTCGAATGACACAAGAGTATTGGCATACCTTCACATCGACAACCAGTGGCCAAAGTTACCGTTATACACACAAACATACCCCCCCCCCCCCCCCCCCAAATTCGTGTAGGTATACGGCCCTGATTGCTAAGACCAACGCAATCGAATCGTTAAGCAGTATTCCGAAGCCCAGAAGACGCGACAAGATATGGAAGAATTCCTGAAGTGTTTGCACAAATCATACGTTTCCTATACATCGTTTCACACGGGACACAAGCCCAAGGCTATCGCTATATACTTCAATTTTACATTCGTGGTTCGCTCGCTAAAAGCTCGCGAGATTTGTCAACGAAGGGATCTCACTCACCGTGTGGCTACTCCGTGCCGAAGTGTGGTCCGTCTTGGCGGAGCTCGGCTGACAGTGCTCTGACGACCTGCGTGCGGTCGCCTACGGCCGACGGATACCAGACTCGCAGCTCCCTGCGAATGAAAAACAAAAAGAGAACCCCGCTTGAATGTACATTTCTAGGCAAAGTACCAAGCACACCAAGCGCATATACAGAAACGACAATATAACAAGTCGCACTGGTCGTGTCTTTCCGCAGAGGGAGATGCACGCCATGGAAACCGAACACCCAAGTTGTTTTTGAGTTGCCTGCCGTCGTCGTAACATGGGTCAAATGCGCTATGAATGACGCGCTTGGCACAATTGCATATGCACGGTATGTATCGCATGTCTCGGGTCGCGCCGCATGCCGGCGCGTGGTACGATAACGGGTACACACCTTGCGTGGTCCACACAAGACCGGCTTTAGTATAATGCGGATGCGGTCTGATACGCTTATCCTCAATAACGGATGGGATTAGGGCACCCGGGAAGAAGCGAGTGGTCCCGCGTGCGAGCTCCAGTTATTATAACTGGTGCGCCGCACGAATGCGTCGCATAGTCTGCCGCATGCAACAGCGGAAGGAAGTGACGGTTCCCATATATATATATATATATATACTGCAACAGTCCTGCCCTCAGAAGTACCTCACGTGCTGTGCGGTCTTATAATAGTGTAAATATTTCGTGCACCGACGTCTTATGTGGTTCTGCCACCGCTCTGAGAAGACAAAAAAAGCAACTGGTGGCTTGCAGAACTACAGAAGTCCTGCAGCTCGTCTAACTATTAACAAACGATTCCTGTTGCGGTGTCATTGTTGTCTTAGCGGCGGCCAAGATGCGGTACTCTGAGGCATCCATGAGTACGTAGGGCCCGTACTCCGCATACTAATGGCCGCCAGGTGTGAAAGGCCGCTTTGGTATTCACGATGGATGGACGACTATAGCTCGTGCGCGAGCCGTCGTGACCATCCTAAGTGCTTAAGTGTGGCTGATCGCCGCCGAAGCCGTCGTCGCTGCAGTGGCCTTCTCACCTTGGCCTTTTAGCGGCCAGAGGCGGCGACATGGTATATGCATATTCGTAACGATGTTACGAATATGCCATTCGTAACATCGTTAGTGCCGCATACGATGCCCACACGGAACCGATTTTCAAGGCTCTGCACTTATTCCCAGTACATGAGCTATATCACACAATTTTAAACAATCGCTATAAGTCGGCTATAAAAAATAACGACACATTTTTCACAGAATTGTCGGCGCTAACTCGCGCTGAACATGTGCGAATTTTGAGGACTCGTGAAGTCTGGAGATTACCAAGACCACGAACCAATTACGCAACACAGATGTTGAAATATCAGCTACCGCTACTACTTAACATATCCGAAAACATAAGTAACACTTCCGCATACTCAATTCGCATGTGTATGATGATAAAATGTACCTGTGAATCTCTCTCTCCCCCTTCATTTTGAACGAGTGCATCTCTGTATACTGTACCAGTGCCTTTATTGTGTACATTTTTTTCAGTTCCACTAGCTCGCTTATGTTGTTGCAATGAAGATAACTGTTATGTGCCCGTTTTTGCCTTTGTACGCCACGATTGTACGCCACTCTGTACGCCACGTTTGCCAAGCCCGGGGGTACGGACCCTGTCAAGCCTCATCTATGGCTTTTTGTCCGTACCCACCAAGCTCCACTGAATGTCTTTGAAGCTGAAATAAATCATGATTGATTGATTAACTTGCGAGCTCCGGTCACGGTCAAGGGAGCGGCGCTCGTTCGCTTCTTTCTCTCGGCCAAGGGCGGCCAATGACGGCGCGCCGTGACACCATCATATCGTGCTGGGAGAAAGCTTCTCAAGTATGTCGGAGAGTATAAGCCCAACTCCCGTCTTGTGTCTATGGGTCTCCCACTTAGAAGAGGTCTTAATTACCTCAATGGCCTTAGATGCATCATCAAATGCGGAAAGTGACTTCCGGTGTCGGTAGCGTCGACACGAGAGACGCAAAACATCCTCACCATGTGATGACAGAGCCACATGACATCTTCATAACGTCATTATCACGTCACATATCGTGCGTGACCTCAGATGGCCACGTCAGCACATGACATCATCGCTTGATCAAAGGTGGGTCGTTCTAGAAGGCAGTGCGAAACAACGTTCGGTACGGAAGGACTTCGACGTGGGGGGGGGGGGGGGGGGGTGAGTCTATACATACAATCGACTGAATATAAAAAGAATGCTTTCTGCGCTCGACTCGTCATAGGCAAATGCATAATGCACGGTTGGTAACTGTTGACGCAAATGAATGCACGGATGCAATGCTGGGTTCATTGGCGACCGTGGTACTGTTCTTTAATGTAATAGAAACGGTGTGATACCCTGACAGGTTGAAAGACACAATTTAAATTATCGCACGAAGCCACTTAAACAAATTAAACGAGTAGTATTTGCGTCGACTGGGGCGAGTTTTTATTCTTCTCGAAACGCTGAGGAGGAGTGGCATTTCCCCCGCTATTGTTCCAGGCGAAGCGAGGGGCTACCGTCAAAGCGAAGCATTCCACTTTGCTGGTGGTTCGTTGGCGATCGTCGTCAGGTGCTACAACGCTCCGAACAATACGGATGGTAAGACGAGAGGCGACGGAATCATGCGCGACGTATCGTCACGTACCAATGTCGAACCGGTGTCCTTGGAACGCGAGCGCATCACGCTATAGCTAACGCCGTCGCCAGCGCGGGGAGCGGGAACGCGTTCGATACGCGAGACGTCATCGTGTGACTCGACAGTCGTTCGAGCGGACGGCAGCGTCACATGATGCACGGGGAGGCTCGCCTTCTCAAAGAGGCACTGCGACGGCTCGTTCGCCGGATGTCCTGTCAACTCGGGGTTCGTGGGACGGCGGCGGCAAGCAGTCTACCTCACTCTCTCCTGCAGAAGCTGTGTCTTCTTACGCGAGAACAAAAGCTCGAGAGGCGGATGCGGGCGTGATTGCCGTGACAAGGTCGATGAGACCACGACCGTCGCTCCCGGTCTGCAGCACGCGCAACTGGAAGCGCGTGGTCACGCGGACCTCCGGAGGTAACACGCGTGAAGCGGTACATGCCGTGGTTAGGCGAACGGACGGATACTGTTATGCTAACTACGCCTCTATGAAATCTTGTTAGGAGGAATCGGCAATGGGTGGGGCGAGGTCGAACACGCGAATGTGCCGGACGTCCCGCCGTTGCATCGTGCACATCAATTCGTGCTTGACCGTTTGTAGTACACACGTGCTCGCGTCGTATTGGCGTCTTTTATTTTGATTTTTTTTTCTTCTGGTGAACAATCGTTACTTTACAAAATACCGTTCTTTTACACTATCGGCAATTCGTCTTTTCCACGATACCGCAGCGCATGAGCCTTCCCCAGGAAAAGTCACGAAACGCCTGCTGGTCTCGGAGGCCATCGTTCAATGCCAGTTTTCCCTGCCCCTACGAAAACCCTGCCAAAACGCCAAGGACATCATAGGAAAATGAAAGAGGCGAATTGTAACAAGACAGCATTACAGCGCCGGACATATGTCAGCGATTTCGTGCACTGTACTCATAATTTCGCGTGCCTATAGTCAAATTAATGCTAGTCATGATCTCAAGACTTTCAATGTCTCGGCATCACATGCGGCCTGGACCGCACATCGTGGTCCAGGCCGATATGCGATGTGTGGTCCAGGTTAGCGACCTTGACCCTGACTCCGGACCAGAATCTACTTGCTGTAGAAGTCGATGGCCTGCCTGTTACCGCCCTAATTGACACCGGTGCACATGTTTCTCATCAGCTGCACGTTTCATCAGCTACACAGATGTGACCGGTCTCAACCGTTGCTTTAGTGAGGCACCCAAAGCGGTCACCGTGTGTCGAAACATAACCGTGGAACAATGCAGGAGATCGCTGTCGACGTGTTTCTCGAATGCTGAGCAAAATGCCCTTCATGAACGACGCATGTTTGAGATGAGGCAAAACATCCTGTTTCAAATGACGACGTTAGCGGACATTTTTGTTTAAGTTCAGTCTCCGCGTGACACTTGCATTCGTTGATCGTCGAAATGTGCTGGAAGAACATCTTCCAATGGTTACAGTTGGGGCCTCATCGCTTACAGCTCTCTGGATCGATTGACAGGCGATGGACAGCGATGGATACAGCGACTAGATGTGACCAAGCAGTACACGGAGAGAGACATGACTGGACGCGGGGAAGGGTTTGGTGCGCGTTCTGAGGACGCAGAAGAAGCAACAGCGCTGTGATGCCGTTGAGGCCCCGGTGTGGGGAGAGGAAGCGCGAGTGCATTGGCCCCCTCGACGTCCCGGCGTGTGGGGAGAGGCCGGGAGGGGGCTGCTTGCCGGCCATCTGGGCCCCGATGCCGGCGTTCTCTCCAGGGGATGCTTCCTCCAGGGCCCCAGGCGCGCTTAGTTCGTATACGTTAGAGATGGCACTATGTTTGCGAGATGAGGGGTTAAGCTATGGTCGTGGCAGTCGCATTTCGATGGAGGTGAAAGGCCATAGCCCGCGTGTACGGTGCGATCTCAAGGCACGTAAAAGAACACCAGCTGATCGAAATTTCCGGAGTCCTCCACTACGGCGTCTTTCATGATCGTATCGTGGCTTTGGGTCGGAAAACCCCAGATATCAGTTACTAGAGATGAGGGGCCCAATTCACAAAACTTATATTTCCTGATTGCGGCGTCTCATTGGTCAGCCGGCTTCGCTGATGATACGACCGATATCGTGATTGGCTAAAACGTTCTCTTACAAAAGTTTTAGTGGAAGACGCTTTTGTGAATGCGGCCTCAGTTGCTTGTGCTTGTAAGGCCATTGTCGGCTCGTTCGGCACTTCCGTATAAGCTGTAGTGACCAGTTATTGGTGTCATTCCTATACATCGTCATTCCTATACATCGTCTATATGCCTATACATCGTCTAACGAAAGCCCAGAGCTGTACTATGTGCTGAATTAGCCAGTTCTTGTAGGATGATCGAGGCTATAAGCTTTGATCTTCGGGCATGACTGGGCTTGGTTCTTTATTCTTTATAGGAGGCCGAATGTCAGTAAGCGC